AATTATTAATCTTAATGTCATGATAATTGCTTCGTCAATAAGCATATATATCTCATATGCTTCCTGTACACCGCAGGCACATAGTGTTCATGTACTGATTATCCTATATGGAGATTGCTTACAGAACTATACATTTGTGCTCCATATAGTAAAGAAGTTCAGTGAAACATGATCTTGAAGTGGAAAATCAATGTCATTATTGGAAACTTTGACTGAAAAATCTTATCATCTTATTAATATGGTTAAATACTTTATCAACTGTCTAACTGTCTATTAGTGAAAATCAACAGTTCAAAATCTAAAATATGACTGGCACATGGCAATTTTAGCTTATTATCTAAGACTTCCACTCCATTAGACCCAGAATATTGAGCCCCTGTTTGAGCCCCATTTTTTGAAAATCTATTTTGTAAGAAGTGATTTTTTTTTTTTTTAGGAAAATGAGGTTGGGTAAAAATTAATTTTAAAGAATGGGGCTCAAACAGGGCTGATAATTTTTAATTAATCAATTTGCTTCCTTGCCATCAGATTGCACAAGAGAGAGGAAGAGAGGCAAATATTTCCGAAAAGGAAAAGGACACATCTAATTCATACATTAGAAGTACTAGACATGGATTGTATACAATCATATTATAATGACACAGAAAATTTCCCTGCAATTCCTTCAAAATTTAAATGAGTTTTTATGCACATTAATGTTTATTGAACTTGTTAAATTCATTCTTTTTGCCATCTTATGTCTTGGGATGATAATTATTTGCTTATATCCATTTTATTAGGTGATTAATTTGGTCAGTAAATCTGAAATATATTTATTTATTTTCTATTGTGTGCCTTGGCAGTTTTCATTCAATTTTTTTAAGAACTTCCATGCCATGTTGCGTGCACCTTGTCCATGTGTTTGCAGCGTATATTGTTGGAGAGATTATCGTCATCTTTCTTGTTCTGACACTGACCAAGCAGCCTCGAACTTTGTCTCGCTTTCACATGACAATCTCTTTTGAAATAAATAAATGCAATGTAGTCCATTACAGTTTGCATTCTGGGAAAAAAAAAAAAAGATGCATCCTTATGGTCATAGTACTATGTTATCACATAAGCCGGAAAATGTTGTCGATCTTCCTCACTGCAAATTGCACTAATTGTGAACAAAAATGCATGAGTCCTTTGGTCTCCATTGCAGGTGTCGTTTTACTGATTTCAGTTGAGATACATGTATTAGGGAGGATGAGCTTGTGTTAGAGTGAGGGAAGGAAGGATAGAAGCCTATTAATATTCCTAATAACATTAACGTTATTCAAGATGACTCTAAGAGGTATGTGACTTTGTTAACCCCAATTGTTCCATATTTGCATTTATCGCACTTTGCAAGAACTAAGCCTATGTTTGGCTCATGTTTATAAACTGTTTATATATATTTAAACCACTTTTAATCCACATATTTTGATAGACCCATAAGTTTTACCCACTTATCTACCACTCATTTATATTTATTTATAATTTAAATGTTCATGATCACTTCCCAAACATGCTCTAAGAAGAATGATTGATGAGCAGTCATTTCTTTGCATTCATGTTAACCGGTAAGGTTTTTGAAAAACCTTTATTGCCGAAGTATGTGGGTCAATAATGAAGAAAGATTGTTTTTAGAAACCTTTAGAGCAAAAAAAAGAGGCATAATAAACATTGATTGATTGGATCATTTACAGTTTATTTTGGTCTAACCACAAACTAGTGTAGTATAGGCTAGCAATGGCTTCCTTCCAGATGGTTGGAAATAAATTCTGCGTTTTGAAAAATGTTAACATGGCTCGACTCATTGTCAAACAACGAAAATTAAAGAACATGTGCAAGGCAAATGCCTATTATTTGAAGGATAATGTGATTCAGCTTGAAATTTCTTGAGAATCATATATAGGGTGTGTTTGAGTTTACATTATTTTGGAAGAATGTATTTTGGAATAGTAGATTGATGAAGAATGTTTGGTTCAAAAAGAAGGAAAAATTATTGATGTGATTGAAAATATTATTTTATTGAAGAATGTGTGGTTGAAAATAAGTAGAAGAATGAGAATGAAAATTTTAATATAGATCAAACAGGGGCATAGAAACATTGTAACACTGTTTATAGAACCTGTGCCTATAATATTCATCTGCAATGAGTGCATATTTTTCATTATTTTAAGTAATTTGTTATTTAATCTCTGCAAGAAAATTAAAAATAGGGTCAACAAAGCTTTGGTCTGAAGCAACACAACACTAAAGAATTGTCCAGGTTCTTCAAAAACTGGATGACCCGTCTCAATTAAAGCTCTGCTGGTTCTTTAGTAAATTTTTTACTTAGTGAATGATTATGATTAATTTTATATATATATCATAAATTTATCTATATAAATCAAATTTGTGTTTTTGAATGATTATGACTTAGTTTTTCGTCTTTGTATTATACTAAAAAGTGTTCAATTAATAGTTATCATTTTTGTAAAATGTTAGCATTTGGTAACCGACGAGTCAAAACATTCGAACCACCAGTTGAATTGGTGACTCTTGTTCTTGGTTTAAAGACTGTTTAAACAAGTAATTATCTTAAATGACTGCAGTTTATTCACCATTGCTGTCCCTCTTCACTTTGTTATCTTCTACTGAGACTATCTACCACCCCTTTGTCACATAAAAAGTTTCAGTGTCGAAGACTTTAAATCAATCCGTGGTAGAACATGTATGCCTGGAGGAAGGTGAAGGAAATATTGATGATAAACAAGAAAAAGTTATAGAGCTGTCGTCTAGATCTTGAACATTTTCCTTACCAATACCCAGTCTGACAGCTTGACCCTATTCTGACTTATTCTTGAAAGATCTAACAAAAGAGGAATATAATTCAAAGAGAAACTTCTTAAGTCTGCCTAATAAACATCGAATGAAAATAGATCAAATCAAATTAAACTATTTATTTTTTCTCCTAACATAAGTTTTCGATTTTGGACTGTTGTTTGATTTGCCATCAATTGGTCTCTATAAGGTTTTTATTTCGTGTTTTATAGATACATAGAGCATTCAAAGTAACAGAACTGGGAAACTCGTTGCAAGAAATAAAACATTACCTTGTTCTAGTGCAATTAGGAAAGGCATACAATAGGGGCTTTATCCGATTCGCATCCTATGGTATAGGTCAATGGGGGAACTTTACTTTGTTACTCAAAAAACTACCACCCAAGAGTTGGCATCCATAGATTTGTTTATTTAGTTTAATTTCTGCTAGTTTAGGTTCTGCAAGAATATGGTAGATTACACAGTTTCTTATTACTTGTACAATAGGACTGGAATGTTAAATGAATTGGCTTCCATAGGGTTTCTTCCATGTTTTGTAGATACGTAGTGCGTTCAAATTAATAGGGGACTTATTCAAATCACATATGAAAATTTTAATGGTTGTATCTTGTATAATTGAAGATGATGCCTTACAATTACACGCTAACAATTGTCTCTGTTTTTTATAATTTTCTGAATGTGCTAACTTGTGGCTATCCTCAATCATGAAAAACATCTATAACTTAAATTTATTGACCAATCACCAGAAGGAAATTGTCTTATTACTCTATGATTATTGTTTCATGGTTCATAGTGTGCTGTAAATGGCACTATCAGTGTTTATGATGCAGCAAATAGATTATTCTTTAGTTTTTACGTTTGTTGAAACTTACTTCATTGCTGAATTGCATATTTGAGCAATGATACAACTTTTACCTGACAATTAAGGAAGATTTATATTGTCCTAACAATTTGGGGGTTAAAATATGGTATGTTAAAAAAGCACTGCAATTATGGTAGTTAAGAGATAAATTCGTGTCTGCATGAAACATTACATCAATTCTGCTCAATTCCACACAAGCTACAGAACTTCATCGAGATAGACAAACATTTTAGTATTGTTATGCGTGAGATGTATACACTAATGTAATTCATTTTCCAGGTACAAAGTTTGTGGCATATGCCCATGCATTGTTCGCAACTGGATCTGCGACGTGGTCGAAGAGGTTCTCTATTGGGCCCTTTCCAGTAACAATAGCCTGGACGAAGAATCCGAACATTGAGAACATAGCCAGTCGTCCATTCTTGATTTCTTTTACCTTCAATTCAGCAAATGCCTCAGGATCATCTGCCAACCCAAGTGGGTCGAAGGCTCCACCGGGGTAGATTTTATCTAGCCCCTCACCAAGTGGGCCCCCACCAACTCTGTATCCTTCAACAAATCCCATGAGCACAACTTGACAAGCCCAGATAGCAAGGATGCTTTGGGCATGGATGAGATTTGGGTTGCCAAGGTAGTCAAGGCCACCTTCTGAGAAGATCTGAGCTCCAGCCTTGAACCAAACAGCTTCACCGAACTTGACACCATTCTTGGCAAGGATTTCTGGGAAAACACAGCCCAATGCGCCGAGCATGGCCCAACGGCAGTGGATAACCTCAAGCTCGCGGTTCTTGGCAAATGTCTCAGGGTCTGCTGACAGTCCAGCTGTGTCCCAACCATAATCACCTGGGAATTCACCAGTGAGGTATGATGGAGTTTGCTCAGAGAATGGACCCAAGTACTTGGGGCGGTCTGGTCCATACCTGTTTCATCAGTTGAGAGTTGATGAGATAGATCCAAATTGCCTTCAAATTTGATTGTTACAAGAAAACAAGACAGGAACTTGAGGTTAGGAACTTGTTTCCCAAAATATATGTTATTCAAATTTGAGTTGGATACAATTTCCTCTTGGAAACCACATTTAAGTGCTTGGCGAACTGATCCTCTGTTATCATTTTAATATTTACTGTTGATCGATCTAATAGGAGTAAAATTTACTTAAACTAGATCAATTTCTATTAAAACTGCTCGAATCATATGCATGAGTGATTTGTTTTGTATGTTTTCTCTAAGATCAATTTCTTAATGAAATTAGGGAGCATTTTGAAGTGTGGCCTTATTTAACAGTTTAAACTACAGTTGTGCATGTGTGAATGTGCGGGTTGAGCTAGAATTTACCAAATGCTCTGGGGAGCACTTTTAACGGTACGTCTCATGGTGAAGCGGCCACCTCTGAGGTTGCCAACCTTTCTGATGAGCTGATTCTGGGACTTCAAGGCTGTCTGGCCAGCAAATGCAGATTGTTGGATTGCTGAAGTTGCCATGTTTTTGCTTGTGAGTTTCTTTATTTGTTGCGGTGATTTGCTTCCTGCTTAGTTGGGATGGTTAAGGGGATGGGAGAAGAGTGTTATATATGGGAATTAGGAGATTAGTGGATTGCAATATCTTCACCTCAGAACAATCTGATTGGTTCATGTATTGGATTTAGATTTCCCTTGAGATTTCTTGACAGTAAGATAGAGGTTTTTATTCTGCCACGTGGCTAGGAAAAAATCTCATTCGGCATTTATATTGGACATCCTCAGCTCTCTAATGGCCACTGATATTGTGTGGACCACTGGCTTGCTTCTTGTCACTCCATTGAGCCAAAGAAATGTACACCTCTCGACTTGGATTTAAAATTTAAATAAGAGAAAAAAATGAAAACCTCAAGAGAAACATAATGAAGAAGTTATGTTACCCTCTTTTAGAGGTTAAAATTGTTGGTTCAGCCTGGATGGATCCAACTACAATCAGATTCACTTAAGGTCCTGCCACAGGTCGCGTCGAGTTTTTTCATCCTCCGCTAGCCAATACATGTTTATAAAATTCTGGATATGAAAACTCTCTGATTTTGACCAAGTAAATGCAGGAGATTGAATTAAAGTAAGCAAACATAGATTTTATGGACACCAACCTTACTTTATTTCTTAAAATATATACTAAGTTAAGAAGGGCCAACACATACTCTGTTGACTCATCAACTCTTAAAATTTTTCTTTCTAAATCAGAGTACTCAACACTCAGAATTTAAAGGCATTCCCGAATTGCAGTTTACACCCCCAAACTGTTAGAATCAATTTTGCAATTTCCAGACCCAATTGGGTTGAAACTGTCCCCACACAACAAATAACTACTCGTAACTGCCGTCAGATGCCTTCCTTGTGCCTGAATATTCACTAATTAGTTGGACAGTAAAGTCTCAATGGCGTCGAACACATGCACATCAACCCATTGATCAATGTCAAATCTGACTTGCACCTCCCAAATTTCGTCCTGCGACTCTACCATCTAGTAAATCCAGCTTCGCTTGCCTTCGTTATTGCCGCATCAACAAAACCAAACCACATGTTTTGCAGACCACTTGAATATGCGCATTATTCCGATACCTCGCACTGTCGCACACATTCGGCCATGGCATGACATCGGACAAGACATCTCCCATGTCATTACCATTTTCTTGGTTAGGGTCCAAACAAACCTTCCCTATCAAAAAAAAATAAAAATAAAAAATCAACGTCCTTGTTGAAGCACCCAAAATGCCTCTGCATTTTTTCTCAACACGTTAAAGAATCCCCACTACTTCTTTTGCCCCGTTCGACGCCGAATGTTGGGTGATCAGTCCAACCCGCTTCGTTGCATTGTTGCACAAATTTCACAATGGAACACTCAACGTTCCCCACATTTTTGGAACACTCCACATCCCTCACACAAATTCTAGAAAACTCTACGTCCTAGCTAACACCGCTGTTTGCTGCTGCAATCGAGTGCCACCCGCACCGAATTTCTGTAATGTAGCAATCAGGCCTACAACCTATTACTCGTAACAAGCTATAGTTGACTCATTCGAGTTAGTAATAATTCCTCGGTGTCCTCCTCCTATTGTTCCTCAAGCATCATAGCAGTTAATTTCTTCTATTTTGGGTAGGGATGACAACGGGACGGGGCGGGGCGGGGCTCTTGCCTCGTTAACTACCCGTTTAATTTTTTTTTTTTTAGTTTTTGATAATTTATTTTTATTACCCATATTCATTAGATTTAGACAAATAATTTTAGTTGCTATTTTCTATTAGAACTAATGAAAATTTTCATATTTAAAGATTGAATTCTAATTTTTTTTTCTTTTTTTTAACGGGGNCTTGCCGCGCCCCCACCCTATTACCCGTTTAAGGTAGAACGGGGCGGGGTCCTTGCCCTGTTTACTACTCGTTTAATTTTTTTTTTTTTAGTTTTTGATAATTTATTTTTATTACCCATATTCATTAGATTTAGACAAATAATTTTAGTTGCTATTTTCTATTAGAACTAATGAGATTTCGTGAAATTTTTTATTTAAAGTATTGAATTCATAATAATAATAATAATAGAAAAATTTAACGGGGCGGGGAGCCCGTTACCCGTCCTCGCCTGGGGGCGAAATTCCCCACCCCATCCTCGCCCCGAATACCCGATTAAGCAGGTTATCCCCGCCCCGTTCGGGACGGGGCCCGCGGGTATCGGGTTTGTCGGATTTTTTTTGCCATCCCTAATTTTGGGTAGTCCTTTGCACACCCTTGTAAATGTAGGAGCCATCAAAAATTTTCCCCTACCTCGAGAAACATCCACCATCGTCGCCTGCTATCGTTACGCAATGGTAATGAAGTATTGAAGGTGATGTTTTTGTAGTTTCTTCGTCTGATCTGTTGCTTAGTTAGAGTTCTGGGTAATTTTTGTTTGTGGTTTGGAAATGGTGGTGGTGGTGGTGATGGTGTAAGTGGTGATTGTAATGCTGAGGTTGATGGTGTATGTGAAGATGGTAATGCTGAGGTGGTAGTGGTGCAAGTAGTGCTCGTAGTTATGTTAAGATAGTGTTGGCAGCGCGATGCCGTAGTTTTAAGGTGGAGGTGGTAGTGGTGGTTTGGCGATGGTCACATGTTCATAGAGTATATGTTAAATGCTGTGTTGATATCTGGTAGTGGTGTCGGTGGAGGTGATAGGTCACAAGTCACATATATTACAGATCAAATAGAAACGGTACATGTCATACTCCATTGGTCATTGGTCATATTGTATAGATCACAGATCAAAGTCAACATATCACAGATCAAAATTAATTGGTCACGTTCTTTGTGCATTGATAACACGTAATAGATTCAAGTTCACATGCCACAGTTCACATGTCATATTGTATAGATAACATATCAATATCCACATGTCACAGATCTAAGAGAACTGGTCACAGACCATTAGATCAATATCACATGTAGCAGTTTACATATCACAGGTCACATGTCAAAGTGCATAGTTAAATTCAAGAGAAGTGGTATACAATTGGTTTCTTCGACTTCAGTTCTCTGAATTGGTCACATATTCAATTAACCAGATTTCAACAGTGAGAATTGAAGTTATTTGCTCCGGTGAGTACTTTGTATATTCTCTCCTTGTTCAATCTTCTGATACACAATACCAACTACTTCAATTTATGACTTTAATTGTCCGCGCAGGTTTCATTCAATCAGATTCCGGCGGTGACAATCTATGTTATTTGCTCTAGTGAGTTCTTTGTAAATTCTATCTTTGTTCGAGTTTCTAATAGCTTCCAATTTGTAACCTCAATTGTCCGATGATTTTCAATCTACCAAATTTTGGCGATGATAATCGAGAATAGGATAAGCATTTGTGGCTTTTCTATTCTCTTTGACGGTGAATTTGTATATTGAAGAGTCCGATTTGAGATGGTAACAGAATGCTTAATTTTAGGAATATAATTTAATATAATATAATTTTTATGTATATACTATATATATCATTTGAGTTTTGGAATATTAAACTTTTTTTTTAAAATTTAAATAAAGTATATTTAAGGCCTGATATATGCATTCTTCCCATATTTTAATTTACTTACAGTTTTAATTTTTTAGTAACCAAGCCACTTGGATTGGGCCACGTGTTATCAGGCTAGACAATTGATTTTGGCCCATGAATCGAATTGGGATGGTTTCAATTTTAACTGGATGGGTCAACCCAACACTTGGTAAGCCTGGCCCATTTCGACATCACTTGCTTCTCTATTCACTTTGTAAGTAAAAACAGCTAAACAAAGATGAGGACGGAGTTGATATATTAGGAATAATGAATCACAAATTCTTCTCATCCCATAGTGATGATACACGTCCAAATATATAGAAGACAAAAGGGTAAATAAGTAAAAGTGATATCCTAACAAACCATACAACCAAATGAATTATTCAGCAGCTAACCATGTGCAATGGTGTTGTAACAAACACGCAGTAGAAGGGACACCTGGAGGCACAATCGTACTAACTACATTACACACTATAGAGTACATTATACCTTTTATTTATACACTATATATATACACTATACCCTTTAACAATGACCCTCAAGATGGAGAATAGATATTCTCTATTCCCATCTTGGATAAATGTGACTTGAGAGTGATGGAAGAGAGCGCCTTGGTGAACATATAATCAAGTTGTGATTTGTTAACTGAATTACCTACCTTAT